TTATCATACCACCTTGGAAGAACTGAAAATTTACAGGTCCCTACAAGTATCTCTGAAAACAGCTACACAAACCCTGAAGCTTGGGACAGTACACTCTCCACATTGGAAGCAGACTCTTACCTTAACAAAGAGTTTAAAACTCAAGTAATTGGCTGGGATCATGAGCAAGCAGTGCAAAAAGAGTCAGACTATATTATCTTACTTTGGTGAAAAAGAAGATCAAAATATACAACCAGAAGACAACAAAATCAAAGCTCCTACATCCAAAGCCTCCAAGAAAAATATGAATCAGTCCCAGGCCTTGGAAGAGCTCAAAAGGGATTTTGAGAAGCAAGTAAGGGAAGTAGAGGAAAAACTGGAAGAGAAATGAGAGTGATGCAAGAAAATCATGAAAAACAAGTCAACAGCTTGCTAAAGGAGACCCAAAAAAATACTGAAGAAAATAACACCTTAAAAAACAGCCTAACCCAAATGGCAAAAGAGGTCCAAAAAGCCAATGAGGAGAAAAATGCCCTAAAAAAAAAATTGGCCAAATGGAAAAGGAAGTCCAAAAGATTACTGAAGAAAATACTTCCTTAAAAATTAGAATAGAGCAATTGGAAGACAGTGACTTTATGAGAAATCAAACACTGTAAACAAATCCAAAAGAATGAAAAATTAGAAAACAATGTGAAATATCTCATTGGAAAAACAACTGACCTGGAAAATAGATCCAGGAGAGAGAATTTAAAAATTATTGGACTATCTGAAAGCCATGATCAAAAAAAGAGCCTAGACATCATCTTTCAAGAAATTATCAAGGAAAACTGCCCTGATATATTAGAACCAGAGGGCAAAATAGAAATTGAAAGAATCCACAGATCTCCTCCTGAAAGAGATCCCCAAAAGAAAACTCCTAGGAATATTGTAGCCAAATTCCAGAGTTCCCAGGTCAAGGAGAAAATATTACAAGCTGCCAGAAGGAAACAATTCAAGTACTGTGGAAACACAATCAGGATAACACAAGATTTAGCAGCTTCTACATTAAAGGACCACAGGGCATGGAATATAATATTCCGGAGGGCAAAGGAGATAGGATTACAACCAAGAATCACCTACCCAGCAAAACTGAGTATAATCCTTCAGGGGAAAAAATGGTCATTCAGTGAAATAGAGGACTTTCAAGCATTCCTGATGAAAAGACCAGAGCTAAACAGAAAATCTGACTTTCAAATACAGGACTCCAGTGGAACATGAAAAGGTAAACAGGAAAGAGAAATCAAAAGAGACTTATTAAGATTGAACTGTTTACATTCCTGCATGGAAAGATGATATTTGTAACTCATGAACTTTGTCAGTATTAGGGTAGTTGAAGGAAAAAAATTGTATGTATGTATATATAGATAGATAGATAGAGGGCACAGGGTGAGTTGAAGATTAAGGGGTCATACCTGGAGAATAAAATTAAGGGATGAGAGAGGATGATACTTGGAGAAGAAAGGGAGAGGTAGAATGGGGTAAATTATCTCACAAAAAAAAAAAAACAGAAAAGTCTCTCACAGTGGAGGGGAAACAGGGGAAGGTGAGAGGGAATGAGGGAATCTTATTGTCATAGGATTTGGCTTAAGGAGAGAATAACACACATTCAATTGGGTATGGAAATCTGTCTTACCCTACAGGAAAACAGGGGGAGAAGGGGACAAGAGAGCAGGGGGTGATAGAGAGGAGGGCAGATTGGGAAAGAGGGTAATCAGAAGCAAATACTTCTGAGGAGGGACAGGGTCAAAGAACAGAATAAATGGGAGGGCAGGATAGGATTAAAGGAAATAGAGTTAGTTTTTCACAACACGACTACTATGGAAGTGTTTTGCATAACTACACATCTATAACCTAAAAAAAAAAAGTAATAAGCATTTATATAGCACCTACTATGTGCCAGGCAACATGCTAAGTGCTTTTTACAAATGGTATCTTGTAAGATAATAGCTGGACCTGGAGTCCACAAAGACTTAAGTTCAAATTCTGCCTCAGACCCTCGACTACTTTAGTACGGTACTTAAGTTTCATACTTAAGTAACTAAGTTACTTTAACCTCTTTGTTTCAGTTTCCTTAACTGCAAAATGGGGGTAATAGCACTTACCTCACAGGATTTTTGTGAGGATCAAAGGAGATAACATTTGTAAATGGCTTAGCATAGAGCCTGGCACATAATAGGTGCTTTAAAAAGGCTTGTTTCTTCCTTCTGATAGGAGAAAATCTATAATTGGAGATTTACATTTATATCGTAGATTTAGAGCTGAAAGAGACCTTTGAGTAACATCCATTTTCAATTTACAGATGAAGAAAATAAGGCCCCATGAGTTCAGGTGACATGCCTAAGTTTACACCATGGGTGTCTGAAATAGGCTCTAAATCTAGGTCTTCCTAACTCCCAAGTCAGCACTCTATCCACTTTTCCATGCTGTCTTTCATTAAATTGAACCTAGTGGTTAAAATAGTGATCTTTGTATACTATGTCCTAGAAAATTCACAATTGTAAGCTAAATCTCAGATTAAGAACATACTTTGCAGTGTGGATGGTTTAGTACTTTAGTGACACTATGTCCCAATTATAGGAAAAATATCTAAGGAAAAAAGGTCTCTGAAATGCTGAATATGCAACCACAAAGTTGTAAAATGAGATCAAATATCATACATATGTAGCCCACAGACGTGAACAACCCCATACATTATACTGACATAAGAATATAAATACATGTTATTGCTGCAACTTCAAATTCGCCACTTTCTCCATTACCAATCCATCATGAACAAGTGGCCTTTTTGAAGACTGACACTGGTTTTAGAGTTGGGAAACAACATTGATTTGTGGATCTTAAGCACTAGAATTTGGTTTTGATGAACATACAGGGACATCCTAGGCCATAACAAATAGGGAGTTGTTGTCCTTTACCCCACACTTTAGGAAAGACTTCCGTAATCAGCTGCCTGGACAGTGACATAGAGTCGTTTAGTATTAACATCAAAATAATCTGAAAATGTCCATTAAATGCTTTGAAGATTTGCATTATAAGTGATTTCATTATTATAAAATGGGTATTCTTCACCAAAGTCTTACTCAGATATCTCATCCTTGCATAGACATGACCTTGGATTTGTTCAAGCTATCAGGGAAGCTCAAGCTTCTGTAGTTCTTATCAAACTGGAAAATCTTTGAAAATGGTAGAAAGATAGATATCTGTTGTTAAGGATAAATTTAGCTCAGTTTGGAGAAATTCATCACAAGGTTGGCCACTGGTTTTATGGTCACAGCAACTCTCAAAGACCTTCTACTAGGTTAAAAGTTATTGAAGGGTTATGATAAAGAGAGTATCCACACATGAAACTGCAGATCCTTGAAATATTGACCTAAACGCCTAGCTTCATTCAATTAATGTATTTAGGAAGAATCTGCATATAAATAAATATACTTGATTAGCTCATTATTTAAGAGAATCCTAAAGTTAAATCTTTTTCTAAAGACAGTAATTACAAAGAACAGAAACTCCTTTTTTAGCTTTTCTTTGTATCCCCAGCACTTAGCAAGGTGCCTGGCATATAGTAGGTGCTTAATATATGTTTGCTGACTTGACTCCCCCAACTTATTTTAAAAGCTGGATTTTTGCATACTGTTTCCTTAAAAATGAGAAGCTATTATAAGTATAGTAGACATAAAAGGCATGGTACTGAGACCTGCCCCCCCCCCCTTCCCCAGCTATCTCCAGGTTCTCTCTTTCTGAAATGGGACTACTTTACTCACCCAACCAGGAAAATCATTGGGTTCCTTCAGGGATGGCTGTGTAGCCACAACTCACTCTCCCTGCTGATATTTGGGGAATATGTCTATACCCACAACATAGTTCCTAAGCCTTCCATCAATGCGCTTCCCATTTACACAAATAAGTTACAACAACACTATAAACTCTGAAACATGAATTATATTTACTAAATGAACAGGCAAGAGTAAGAATAATCAAAATATAACAGTCTACCCCTAAACCTGGGTCACACTCTCACATTAATGCACACAGTGTTTGTGGGAAGAGAGTATAGACAAACTTGTGGAAATCTGGCAGTGAGACACATGGACAGGGAAATTCTTGTGCTGAGCAAACTCATGATGCTAGACTCCCAGCGAGGAGGTCTGTAGTCTTCTCGTGGAACAGTCAGCACCTATTGATCAAGACCATTCCACTCTCCCACTAGATAAAGTAACTTTCTTGCTGCTCTCAGGTCATTGAAGCAGAGCTCTTTTGGCTAAGAGCAATTTAAGCCTAAGGCTTGCAGAGCTTTCTAGATCTTCTTTCTTGGTTAGGCACTGAAGCTGATTCACATTCTTTCAATGAAAATCAGTTTCCTTTAAACCTGGGGTCTGCAAAGTAAAGCACAAAGTAGACAAATCTTTGAGGCTTATATTCTCCCAAGATGTAGATGATGTTAGAAAGTGAGGTAGCCTTGCCCGTCTCCCAAATCAGGTCTGCACCCAAAGAAGAGGATTCTTCCTTTATACTAATCAGCTCTTTCAAACAGCAGAGCTCTCCAATCAAATCAGTTCTCAGTTTCAACACTAGTACCTCCATGTCAGTTTCTCAGTTCCTGTCAGCTCCATCAGCTTCTGTGTTCTTTCTCTGTCACAACTTTCTCTTGTCAGCTTCTCTATGTCTTTTCAAGATGACTTCTCAGTTAGCTTATGATTTTCTGATCTGGCTTCTAATGTCTCAAATCAGAGCCTTCTTGTGTGTAATGACCCATCTCTAACTTAGATTAAAAAACCCCAAATCTATGTTTTTGTCATATATAGTAGTTATGCAATAGTTGCATAGTCCCCAAACAGTTCTTTAAAGAAGAATTTGTTATTTAGTCAGTCAACAACCACTTACTATGTTCACTATGTGTCAGGCAATATGATAAGCATTGGGGATACAAATAAAGGTATACACAAAGACCTTAACCTCAGAGAGCTCACAGTCTAATGGAGGAGATGAAGTATAAATAACTAGATACAAAAAAGGATACATACAAAATAGATAGACCGTAATCTCAGAGAAGAAGGAATTAGTAGGAAGTACTAGGAAAGGTCTCCTATAAGATTGGATTTGAACTGGTTTTTGAAGGAAGCTATGAAAACTAAGAAGCGGAAGTGAGGAAAATTAGTATTCCTTGTTTGGGAAACAGATAGTGAAAAGTCTCAGAGACAGAAGATGGAGTGTCGTAGTCAAAGAGAAGCAAGAAAGCCAGTGTAGCTGGATTATAGAGTTTATGGATAATAGTAAAAGGTAAGTAAACCGAAAATATAGGGAAAGGACAGATTAGAAAGAGTTTTAAAGGTCCAATAATATACTCCAAAGTCCTGAAAATAGTCATACTCAAACTAGTGGCTGGGAAGCAATGCCCTACAGTCACCTCTGTAATCAGGCATTTGCATTTGAGGGGCATACTTTCATTCCAAGCCCTCAATACTTTTATCTAGGGTGCTGCTTTTTATCAGTTCCTAAAAACTCTTCAAGCTACTATTCTTGGTATTTCTTGCATCTGCGTCCTTTTTACAACCCTTTCAGCAGATAAACTATCCACGTATGAAAGGTGCAGTACCTTACATAAGAACTGTTCTAATAACAATTGGCATGGTCTGATATAGTGGATAGAAGGCGAGCCTCCAAATCTGGAAAATCTGGCTTCAAGTCTTGTCTCTGACAAATATGTCTTAAGAAAATTACTTAAACTCTCTGCTCCCTAGGCCTTGGGAAGAGCAATACCTCCTTTTTTTCCAGCCCAGTCCACACATTCGTTATTTAGAAGTAATTCTTAAGTAGATGTGATTTGGCTACTGCTTCTGCAGATGCTGTAGCCCTTGCTTGCTCAGAAGTCTTAGCTACTAAAGAACCAGAAAATAAAATTCTCAATACCAAAGTCCTTGGCTTTGTCAAAAGTTCAACATAATGGATAGGGTTTTATATGTGGAACTGACATTACAGAAGAAGCATTACCATCTGTTTTGCTATGCTGCTGTACCCCAAGGACCATGGCACTTTCCTATCCAATTTGCAGATGAAGTTTCCTTTAAAGATTCTCTCTGGAATGTGAACTCCTTCAGAGCAAAGACTGTCTTAATTTTCTATTTCATTCCTAGCACTTAGCACAGTGTTCATTCATTCATTCATTCATTCATTCATTGTTAGAGGTAGTTTCCGTACTGGGAGTTTCTGATGCCAATAAAATCACAGGTCCTGACAAAAAAAAAATTAAATAAAGTCACATTCCGAACATAAGATATCCAAGTCAGATAACTCTTGCCAAGACTATTATAAATATGGAGCTATCATCTGCTTCCCACATTTTCTCTAAAGACATATAATAATTTTAATTATCTCTATATATTCCTGGGACACATTAGCAGAGCTCTTTTAACTGAAGTGAGATATTTTAAAATCTTTAACACCACAGCAGCTATCAGGAACATTCATGATATGGTGAAGGAAACTAGGGATTCCTATAATGCTCTTGAAAAGAAAATTAGTTTCCTAAGTGTTTCCTAAGGGCCTAAGGGTCCTTTTGTGTTTTTTTCCCAGAAAACTATTATATACAAATATTCAGCTGCAGCAAAATCATAACAACATAAGCAGCTTCTCATAAAAACTTTACAAGCCAATTCACATAGTATGATATCAAATAATCTTGAACCAAAGGAAATATAAAGGACATACAATTGTTAAAATTGTCTAGTAATCATAGGTGCATGATAAAATATATTATTATTAGTTCAGTACCAACAGTTGACTTTGCATTATACATGTGGGTCATCTTCAAAGTCTTGTATTTTAATGACATTACTTTCTGAGGAAAAATGTAAACAAATACAAGAACTGCAAATATTTCATCTAGATATACTATCTTCCATTCTAGTAAATGATTCCTTTCTATGTCTAAAAATGAGTTATAATAAAAACCCAGTCACAAGACTATTCTCTCTGGGATCTAAACATCTGAGTTTAAATTTTATCTCTGATATTATTTGTGTGACCTTGGGCAGGTCACTTAATTTCCCTGTTTCTCAGTTTCTTTTTCTATAAAATGAAAGGGTTGAATTAGTTCATAAGTTTCAAGAATGAGCGATACCATCCTCTGAGGGGCATTGGAATGATCCAGGGGGGCAGTAGTAACCTTGGTGCAATTGGGCGACATTAAATTAAAATAAAATAGAAGCACAAGAAAAGATGAGAAGATAAAAAAATTTTGAAAAACCATTTGTACGTGTTTCATCTATTAACAGAGTTAAAGTTGTAGTGATTACATTATTTTCCAAATAAACACACAAAATACAAGTTATAACTGATCAGTGGTCAGGTCAGCCAACAGGTCTTAACAAGCAAGTGGTGGCAGGCAAGTATGTCATGCATTATCTGGAAGTCCAGTATGTATCAGCAGGAATATGTGCATGTAATGACTTGTTAACAGTATGACACTATGTGGTTACATGATACAGTACTGCATCATCAAAATTTCGATTGAGGAAAAAACCCACAAATTTACACTAAATTATTAAATTTAAACGCATCATTAAAAAATGTATATATTTTTTAAATGACACAAATTTTTTAAAAAAACCATTACAGGGTTAAAGAAAGTAGATTTCCAGGGGGTCACTGAGTAGTTTTTTTTTTCTTGAAAAGGGAGTGGTAAGCCAAATAAGTTTGGGAACCTCTAGATTAGATGGTTTCTGAGCCTGAGACTCCAGCTCTACCATCCATGATCCTGCAATTCCCGCTTTGGGCCTTCTGAACACAAACAAGCAGCTGCAAAGGCATGAATCCTTCCAGGAATATGTCAGTGCTCTACCAATGCCTTTTAATGAAGACAAACTGTTGCATTCAAATTTGCACACTTTTTTTTTGTCTTTTCCTGTGTGTGTGGAAGGCCCCTTTAAAAAACAGAAAGGAACAGTTCCCTTTTGGTGGTACTCAGGAACGCTGGCCCTAAGCAAAACCATGAAGTATGGGAAATTCATTCTTGGCCTCTTCCCAACTTTCCCTTCAGTAACTTTTTTTTTCTTATTACCTCTCCCTAGATCCTTCACATGCTGCTTCTTTGTTGCTCAGAATCCCTCCCTACAAAGCACTGTCATCTCCACAATCTCTAGGAGGTAGCCTATGCTCCAAACCTTTCCCTCCTTGTTCCTTCTTATCAAAACTGCATTTTGTTCCATTCCCTTTTGGCTGTCAGGTTAGAAAGCAATCTGATAAAATAATTCCCTCAATGTATTAATGATTGATAACTGTTCAATATGCTACCTCACCAGGGGTATATGTATTTGTCAAGGTACTATTAGGAGACACCCTAATAGTTTTCCAGAGCTAAGGCCCAGCAAGCAAGCTGTGCCCTAAGCATGGCATAACAACAATCCTTTGTGCTCACCTTCTGGAATTGATGGTCCCTGAGTTCTGGCATGCACCAACAGAGCCAGACATGAAGCCTTGCTACGAATGGACTTTTTGTCACTAGACAACCTTGCCTCACTGTTGCTGTTGTGCCTCATTACTATTTCTACACTATCCTGTTTGACTCTTTGTCTAGCCACAAGTATAGAAATCAAGGTTCAGCCACCCTAAAGTAGGGGCCAGGCCCTAGCACAGGTCTCCAATCTGCTTCCTAGCTTGCAAGCCCTTTCCCTCACTTTGAAATGGAACCTCTGTTTGATTCTTGACTCTTCTCTCTAACCTGCTCTGTTTGTCTCCTGACCATCCACAGGTTAGAGGCTCATCTAGTCCAGTTGACACATTTTTAATAAGACTCTTGGAGATGCAAAGCCTTAACCCAAAGGAATGAGTCTGTAATGATAGATTTTTAGGGACAGTGACAGAAAGATTGGGGTAACATTTGGGGACAGGGCAATCTTTCCCATCCTTTTCAAATAATACCAAGCAGGTCATCTCTTACATTCTCTTCCTATGAATAAAATCATTCCTGTCAAGATTGTGGGGCAGAAAAATGAATTTCTCAATTCAATTCAGTAAACATTTACCTACTATGTGCAAAGCACTGGAGATACAAAGATAAAAAAACCTAAAAACAATCTTTGCTTTTAAGGAACTTTTATTTTACCGGGGCAATAAAAACAGAATCTAAGATAGCAGGCTGAGAAGTTTGTGCTTTTTCCTAGAGGCAACGACAGGCAGCAGAATGCAGTAGAAAGCATATAGGATTTGAACTGAGGCCCTAAGCTTGACCCCTGGCTTTGTCAATTACCTACATTGTAAAATTATATAACTTTGGGCAAATCATTTAACCTCTTCAGGCCCCAGTTTCTTCAACTTTAAAATTAATGTGTTGGATTACATGACCTCTAGGTTCCTTCCAGTTCTAAATACATGATCCAATAGGGAGAGGCTGAAGTAGGGGAGTCAGAACTGTCTTCAGAACTATGTTTTAGGTATACAGTTATCCCTTCCACATCTTGACTTTCCCCATGGAGGTTTTGATATATTGAGGGTCAGCATAAGAAATTAAATAAGAATTTTGGGGAGTTTTACAGAAGCTGAAGAACACACTGGAAGGCCAGCAGATGACACAGAAAAAGTTCAGGAACTCAAAAATGCATAAAATATATGTATAATATTATATATCAACATATTTCATCTTTTTTTCCAGTAATTCAATAGTTTGTTCACCTAAAAAACTGCATAAAAGTATATAGCTCTCATCCACAAGGTCTATATAAAAGACATTTAAAATAGAGGCTGTTTATTAGTTTATTTTTATCAAAATATTTTTAGTGTATAGTACCAGCAATATAGTGTAGTTTTTTTAAAAAATGAACTTCACATATTTTTGTATTCTTTCAAATTGTCTGCTATATATAAAAGAAGCTCACTACAAAATGCTTGAAGGGGAAAAAAAAGACAAAAATTTAGAACTTCCCAGAAATGTACAGCTTTTGCATTTAAAAAAAGGTTTTGAAATATACATACACGCATGTGGGACAATCCCCTCCTTCTTCCCCTCCCCTCAGTTCAAACCACAGTAAGAGTTCTGATTTCTACATGATCTCCAAAATTAGAAATTTTAAAAAAATAACTTCTTCACTTGCTAGCAAATCCAGGGCTTGTACATTTCTGATTTATTCAGTAAAAAACCTCACAAGTAAAATAATGTATATTTAAGGGAAACATTATACAGACTTTCACACAGAAGTACATAATAAGATTTTTTAAAAATCTATTGCCATTCATTTATTTTGCACAGAAACGTATAAATATGTCACCAGCTTTTCTTAACTTTAAAAACTTAAATAAAAACACCAGATGAAAACTCATATTTTAACTTTTAATACCATAATATTTCAGGCTTCTTGTATGGTATGAAGGGAGGACCAAAACATTTTACACAGATTTTCTAGATCTTGGAGGCAACTGTGCCCCCAAACCCTCGATATGGAAGGGATAACTATATTAATTTGGCAGCTGTGTGGAAGATGCCTTAGGAAAAAAAAGAGAAAAAGAAGAAAAAAAATAAAAGAAAAACTGCTACTTAAAATAGAATTCTTTTTCTTTCACATGAACTAAACTCCTATTCCTATTCCTCTTGGCTTGGAGTTTTCCTTGGATTTCTTTTAAAGCCACTCCAGTAAAGTCCAAGCTCCTACCAAACTCCAAAGGCATGTTTGATATCTGAAGTTCAGCTGTGTGGACAAACTCATTCCTTACTAAGATTTGGCCACCAGGTGATGAAATTTTCTAGACATGGCAACTCATGGGGACTAGTACTAAGGCATGGAAGGCCTGCAAAGGGACTATCCCCTTTCTAAAAAATCATGACTGTTGTAGGAATGAAGGATATGTCTTCCCAGGTGCTCTGATCAACCTGGCGATATCTTCTTTGCTAATAAGTCTACTGTATTTGTTAAGAGCGTATTTTGTCGAAAGGTCTGGACAGTATGTTGTTATTAAGACAAATCTAATTAGAACTAAAACAACAGGAGGACTATAAGCCCAAAAATACGAAGGCAGCAGGGCTCTGAGAAGCTGGAATGTCAGCCCCTCCCTACCACTCCTCTCCCTACTTTCTCTGCTCTCTGCTCACTCAGTCTTGCAACAGGAATTTAAGGTTCTTGACCAGAGGGTACAGCTACCAGACAGCTGAGCTGAAACTGACCTAGCAGGGGAAAAACTGGGGAACCCTCCCAGAAACCCCAAACCCAGCGTGTTTTCAAAAAAGGAGGCTCGTGAAGATGGGAGCAGGGGATCAAGGGAATGTCAGCACCCTTTCTCCTGCCTGGGCTCTAGATTCGGGACCCCGACTCCATCTCTCAAGCAGACTGGGGGGGGGTTGCGGGGCGGTAGAGGCAGGGACTCGCTAGGCCGGGTTGGGGGGTGGGAAAGAGTTGAGCGAGGAGGAGATCCCAGCCTCTTGGGAGGGGCACCATCTGCGACGTTCTGCCGGGAGCTGCTGTCAGAGGAGTGGGAGTGATGGTGGGGGCGTGAGAGGGGTGGGGTGCCGGGAGCGACCAACCCACTCCCTGGGAAGCGACACTCGAGGACAACCTCCCGCCCCCGTGCTTTTGCCCTGGGTGATTCGCTGCGGGTGGCATGGAAGCTGAGCTTTCTCTTCGACTCTGGGGGAGCGCGAAAGGGGGCGGGAGACTAGGGAACGAAATATGAATTTGACCCTAGCGCTGCCATAACCCCTTGGAGTCCCCCTCTTTCGCAAGGGTCCTGGAGTCCCCCTACTAGGCAACACCGGGCAGGAATAGGGCCTGGCCTGGGAGGGAGAGCTCGAGGCTCTCCCTCCCGTCGCCCCTATCGAGTTGGGGAAGGAGTGTTGAGGGTGGGAGCCGTGTTGGGGCTCCTGCAGTTCCTCCTCCAGCCACCGAGGGGCGCTGGAGAGATGGATCAGGTGACCCGGGTGCGCGCCTAGGGGTGGGGGGTTGCGAGAAGCTGCCTCGTTTTGGGCCGGCCGGGAGACGCGGATCCGCCGCCGCTACCGCTGCCGCTGCCGCCGCCACACCTAGTGGAGGAGCTGGGGAAGGCGGCTCAGAGCTGGGGGGTGGGGTGAAAGGAGAGCCGGGGGTGGGACGGAAGGACGGGCGGACAGGAAGGTAGGCGGGCAGGCAGCGGGAGCCGGTGAACAGCAGCCAGGGGAAGAGACCCTGAGGCGGTGGCGGTAGCGGCGAGAACAGCAGCAGCTCCCCCAGCAGCAGCAGCAGCAGCAGCCGCGGCGGCGGCTCCCGTGCTCACCGGCCGGCGGGGCTGGGGCGGGTGGGCCATGGGAGCACTCTCCTGAGGCGGAGGTCGAGGGCGGGCGGGGAAGGGAGGAAGCCGAGAGCGAGCGAACGGGAGGACACGGAGCGAGGGAGGGAGCGCGGAGGCCGCGGGCCGCTGTCTGGGGAGCGGGGTCGGCGGCGGCACCACCATGTCGCGCTCGGTGCTGCAGCCCAGTCAGCAGAAGCTGGCGGAGAAGCTCACCATCCTCAACGACCGCGGCATCGGCATGCTCACCCGCCTCTACAACATCAAAAAGGTATGGACCGCCGAGGCCCCGGGGCTGCTGCGGGCGGCGGCGGCGGCGGCGACGGAGGTCGGCTGGGAGCGGCAGCGGCAGCCACGGCGGCCGCCACCGTTCGGGGAGGGCTGGGCTGGGCCGGGCAGAGACGAAGGAGGACGGAGAGGTGGAGGGGGAGGCGGCTTGGGGAAGGGAGGCCTGAAGGACGCATCCAAGGGGAGAACCCCCCCCAACATTCCCCCCCCCCACCCCGGCTAGAGTCAGGGCTGGGCCCCGCGCGGCCTAACTGCGGAGTCCGAGGCGCTCACCTCCGCCGGGCCCGGCCCCTGCAGCCTGGGCAAGAAAGGCACCAGAAGCCATTTCCCCGCTCGCCCTGGGGAGCCGGATGGGGCTGCGGGAAGGGGCGCCCACCCCCCACCAGCTGCTTCTCTTCCCCAGCGCAGCGGTGGGGGCGGGGTGACCAGGGCGGGGGAATGAGCTCGACAGGAAAGGGCTGGAGGGTGGGGACGTTGGGGGAAGATAGGGAAACTTGCTTGTTCTGGATGGAACTGCGGCGGCAACAGCAGACATGGAAGGGGTGGGGGCAAGAAAGGCCCGTGGGGAGCCCACTTGATACTCCCCAATGTTGCAGTCGTTCCTGGCATTTGGGGAGGGGAGGGGATGGGATGGAAAAGGAAATGGCTCACCGGATGACCCTCACCCATCCTCACTCTGCCAGTTTCTCGTAGGCTGCTAAGTAATGGCCATTTGAGAGGGTGTTAACATCTTGGGGTGATTTCATGTTTTGAAGGTAGGGAGGAGGGAGAAGTGAGGGTGGAACTAATTTTCACCTAATACCTAGGAGTTGTGACTCACTAGAACAGGAATAACAACCTTAACCTTGCTGCTCCTGCCACCTTCCTTTCCCTTCCGACTTAATACACATGCGGAGAACCCTAGGTTCATGTGTATGTGTTTTTTAAAGGCCGCTCTTGAAAGTTCACTATGTCTCTCAAACAAAATCTGCAACTGTGTTACCAACTATTACTACTAAATATTCTTTGATGTTTTGAATAGCTGTTTGCTATCCATTGCTTTGATGTCTTCAGAAAGCCCAGAAAAGGCAAGTTGGCTTGTAGTTTAATAAAAACAGTTTTAAAGCTTCAGGTAGCTTTTTGTTTTAATCCACAACGTTGTGCTTATACATTCCAGGGGAAACGAACCAAAATAATTCCATCTTTTTGGAAACTTAAGTCAAGTTAGCCAGTTTAGATAGATTGAAGATTAATCTCTGTGGGTATCAGGTATTTCAGTTCCTAATATTTTTGATTATATACCTACTTGGTTTCAGACTTTTATTACTGCTTTCCTCAGGATTATTCGTTAGTTTTAAATAAGTAAGACTCATTTTTTCTAGAATTAGTAATGTTAAGATAAACATTTTAACCTGTTTAAATTTTAATTAAAAAGATATGTTTCTGTAATACATTCCATAATGGGGTTGTTTTAAAGAGCTGTTGTTTAAAACAGTGTTTTGGTGAGAATTGTTTATTTTGGAATAGTCCACATGTGTCTAAAAGCATACTTCACCATGTGTGTAAGAATTGACTGTCTTTGTGAAATCTGATGGGTCAAGGGTTCTTAACTAGGGTTAGGGTTATAGGTGCATCAATAGATTTCAGGAGGTGTGTGAATTTGATTGAGAAAAAATTGTATCTTTCAATTGAATTAGTTTACTTTGTAATCCTTCCTCAAAACATTCTGAGAAGAGGTCCATATTCTACAGATAGATAAAAAGATGCATGATACAGAAGAAGTTAGGAACTCCTATGAGTATGAGTAAGCAGCAGTAAATCTTTCTTCATGACTTTTGTTAAAATTTGTCATAAGACTATTCCATAACAAAATAGACCTTGAATTAAAAAATGCTAATATAAATTTTTAGAAGTAAATTTATATAGGTTAGGGATAATTTAATGTTAAGGTCCATGGTATTCACTCTATATTGAACTGAATTTACTGTGGAATTTTACAGGTGTTCATAAGAAACTTGGGTCTTGGTTTTAGAAGTCAGAAGTAGCAAGTCAAACATTACTAGAAGGTACGAGACATGTGGTATTGTGGTTAAAGGAAATGGTCTTGATGGTTTCCAAAAGAGGAAGTAGGAGTAGCATTAAAAGTGATTTGGCTAATAGAAATTCTTAGTGTTCTGTAAACATTTTTACATTATAAACTCAGACTTTGTAATGTTTTCTTTAATAAATATTAAGAAACTACGTTATGAATGTTTTAAGTGCCTGTTAAACATTACAAATTTTACAGCTCATTACTTAGCTAAGAAGTACATTAACTGTTGAAAAACTATCAGTGAAGTGATAAAATTTAGACTATGTAAGATCTAAAATTTTGATCTTTTCATTATGTATTCTGATTTATTACAAAGGAAATGTAGTTTTATTTTTATTTTTTATTGCTTTGTTTTCTGGACAAAATTACTGCTTTGAATTGTGCAGTGATTGTATTTTGGTTTGCTGTCATTTAATATAGTTATTTGAATGCTAGTATATCATTTAGAATTTTAGTCTTTTAGTCCATAGAATTGTTTATAATTCTCTGCCAGTAAGTGGCTGAAATGTTAAAAAAAAATCCTTCCAAAACATGAAGAAAATTATTTGCTCACCAATTACTTGACTTTTTTTGGTATCACAGTTGATACTCATCAAATAAGATTTGTAATGTAGAATTGCAAATAAATTGCTACATTGCAACTTGAAGTCTGTTTTGGAATATCATTTCAGCAAGGCTATTAAATTAGAAAAATGATATCTGTGGTAAGATACATTTTCTTTACAAATTGTCCCAGACACACTGAAAGTATACTTTTCTGTATGCAACATCAGTAATAGATGAGCTTTGATTTTTAAAGAAAATTCCATCATTTTGAAATGTGAGAAAACTCTTCCACTGAAGTCCTGATGTGCTTCTTCATGGTGTGGAAATGTGACCCCTGGCGCTTGGAAAACTATACCAGTAGCATATAAGCTCTGGCAGGGGCTACTTAACTAAGTTAGAAAGACTTATCACATACAGGCCTGTTATTGTGCTGACTGTGTGTCTGGTTATATGATAATTAGCTTAGCTAAAGTTGAAGAAGTTCATCACCAGAAAGATGGCAGCTGGGTGTTGAATTTTTTTTAGCCACTACAACTCATTAAGGCAAATAAGAGGTGCAGTTTGCTTTGGTGGAAAGCATTGAAACTACACTGATAATATCATGCATTATTTAAATGTTGTATTACTTACAAGGAAACCAGAAGAAAGCACAAAAAAAACCACCCCAAAACCTAGCATTTATAAAACAGGGGAAGAATACGTGATTTAAATTTTAAGTCATTCCTTCATGTATTAAAAGGAAATACAGTTATCTATAAGGTCCCTTCTAGCTCTCAAATTCCATTATTCTCATCTCATTTCATTTTTAAGGCTAAACTGAGGCTCATAGAAGTTTGATGTAAGTGGTATGTTTTCTCATTGCCAACCATGTTTCTTCATCTATAAAATGATGAAAATAATCTGGCTTGCTTTCTTCATAGAGTTGCTGTGAGGATCAGTGAGATGGGTTTGTGAAAGAGTAAGACTAGAAAGTGGACTATCATTTTATTAGTGTAGGAAACTCCCAGCTGGGGAAACTTCTACATAGGCCAGCCCCTTTCTGCAACTTAGTGTTAGAAAGTTTCCTAGAGCACTGAGAAGTTAAGCAAACTTAGTTGCCCAGAGTCACACATAGTTTGATTTGTATGTCAGAGGAGGAACTTGAGCCCAAGTTTTAGTGGCCAGCATTATGTCCACTATATCTTACTGCCTCTACTATATGTGAAATCAGTTTAAATATTATGGAACACTTTATAAATATAAGGCAGTCATTTTGTTGTTTAGGAGTTTCATCAAATTTAAAGCAACTGTTGGTGCTAGAAAGTGTTGAAATTACACCTGTTTCTTCCAGAGCTTTGTTTCTTTCATTATTTTTTAAAAATTAATTAATCAATTTTTAATTTTCAACATTCATTTCCACAAGATTTTGAGTTCCAAATTTTCTCCCCATCTTGCCCCCCCCAGGCAGTGTGCATTCTGAATACCCCTTCCCCTAATCTGCCCTCCCTTCTATCACCCCCACCCCCTTCTCTTATCCCCTTCCCCTTCTATTTTCCTGTAGGGCAGGATAGATTTCTATACCCCATTGCATGTATATCTTATTTCCCAGTTGCATGTAAATACAGTTTTTAACATTTGTTTTTAAAGCTTTGGGTTCCAAATTCTCTCTCTTCCTCCCTCCCCACCCACCCTCATTGAGATGATAAGCAACTTGATACAGGTTATGCTTGTGTAGTCATGCCCAACACTTCTATAGTAGTCATGTTGTGAAAAACTAACTATATTAACCTTCATCCTATCCCACCCCCTGCTTATTCTGTTCTCTCTTTTGACCCGGGTCCCTCCTCAGAAGTATTTGCTTCTGATTACCTTGTCCCCCAATATGCCGTCCCTTCTATCATTCCCCCTTCCCCCATTTTCTTGTAGGGTAAGATAGATTTCCATACCCAATTGAATGTGTATATTATTCCCTCCTTAAGCCAAATCTGATGAGAATAAGATTCACTCATTATCTCTCACCTTCCCCCATTTCCCCTCCACTATAAAAGCTTTTTCTTGTCTGTTTTATGTGAGATATTATTTTTCTTAAGAAAGAAATTCAGTAAACTCTGCAAACCAGCTAAAAAGACTTTCCTTTTTATTTCTAGTCTCATAGCTTTATTTTCTTTCCTATTTTACTATACCATTGTTCTTGTGATCATTGCAATACTCCTAGTGCCAAAGAGGGCTAAACACACACACACATACTCACAGAGACACACACACGCATATTAACTAAACTTCTATATGTTTTCCTGTAGGAGTTCATTTGTTGTCTTAGCTATATTAAGGAGTAGTGGAAAAGGACTAAAATCTAAGCATTGATGTTCTTAAGGGCTCTTTTTAACTAGGTTTATTTATGAGTCAATCTTTAGCATTTGTTATTTTTTCTCCTATTTTAACTGTAATCTGTCAAAAAAAGTAATAAATTTTGCCCCTGTTTTTGAGTACTGTGCTTCCCTAGAGGGAAGAAAAAATGAACAGCAGCAAAATAAAATAGAATTCTTCATTCCTTATTTAGCATAGGAAAAAGAAGATAGGTTTGTGCAGGAATAAACCAAAGGTGTAGAAAGTAGACTTTATTCTTCCCTTGCTACTTTTTTTTTGGGGGAGCGGGGAGGCAGAGGAAAGAGTTGAGAGAAATGAATGGAGATGTTTGTAGAGGATACATAGTGTTGTATTCTTCAGCAGCAAAACTTTTGTTAAGACTGCATTGGTTCTGCCATATATGTGCTTGTCTTTTTTACTACTGGGAAAGTGCTGTGCATAGGTAGAATATTTATATGAGTATTTCTTGAAGATGGATTTAATTACCTTAGACTGAAGAAAATAATGTCTCTTGATAAATTTGAAACCTAAAACATATCATTTCCTTCAACAAATCTTCTTGTTACACAAATTCATAACTCATTTTTTAAAAAAAAATCATTTTTTAAAAAATATGTATTTTTTTCTGTTTGTAGTGGATGACTTAGGCTAAGTAAAGAGGAAAAGTAGTGATGATGCAGAGGAGTGAATAATATTTTATTTATTTTATATCTTATTGAGTTTGTGAAATATTTCCTAATTACATGTAAAATTTTTTAACATTTCTTTAAAAAAATTTTGAGTTCCAAATCCTTTCCTGGTCCTGTCCCATCTATTGGGAAGGCAAGCAATATATCAATTATACATGTGAAGTCATACAAAACATTTCTGTATTAGCCATGTCAGAATATACACAAACAAGAAAAATAAGGTTAAAAAAGTAAGCTTTAATCTGCACTCTAGAGTTTAGTTTATCAATTTTTCTTTCTGCAGGTGGATAGCATTTTCCTTCAAGGGTACTTTGGAATTATCATCTTGATCAGAGTAGCTTTGGTTTTCGCAGTTGATCACCCTTACAGTATTGCTGTTTACAGCTGCATGTCAGCAACTGCTTTGACTTGCCCT